GAAATCAAGGTGTCAGCAGGTACGTCCCCAAACTGAGAGCAGAGTTTTCCAGACATCTGAAAAAGGTTGCTAAACCCATGTTCTTTGGTTTATTATTTTACTTAAGCAATTTTAAAAGTAACTTCAGTTGTGAATATGAAGGATAACTGTGTAATTACARTGAGGCTGTGCTTAAATAAACAATCAGCAGGTAGGGCCACAACTTAATATTGGGCTTTAATAAAAAAATAGATTTCTTTGAAAGTGTCAGTTTAAGACATTCCAAGTCTCCCATCCCCTTGCTTGCAGAAGCTCTAGTTGAACTCTATCATGAAACAGCTGTGCATTTTATGCCATTTTGGCTGAAAATAGAGCTTGAACTGAACTAAGGGAAACATYTTCCAGTCTCTTATTAAGTGTGCAAGTTATTGCACAAAGGTGTGAGAGGGAGTCAGAGCTGGCATATCAAAAAAATTAAAGCCACACCCCTGGAACAAGCTTTTTTTCTTCTTACATCGGTGAGATCCTTCTCACTRCTTCTCTCATAAAATTAATCAGAATGAGGGTAAACCTTAGAGAGCCGGGAARAAAGGTACCAGGACTTCGATCTGAGTTCCTCACTGCCCATTCTTATTCAAGAATGCTTTGGAAAAAGTCCTTATCAAGATAGAACACCCTAAGATAATCTCTTTAAAATTATTAAAAGGAACTTATTTTTTACAGAATGCATCTATTCCAGCCCAAGGCCAAGAGGAGTTCTGAAAATAGGTTTCCAGAATTAAGCTTTACAATTTCACCTCCAGTATTTGAGTTAATTATTTCAGGYTCAGTTTCCACAGTGCTGGATTCAGGACTCTGAGCTCTGTAATCTTCATTTATTTGAATATTAACAACATGTTTTGATACAAAACCCACTGGGGTAATGCAAGRGTAATCTACTTAAGAGTTTTGTAAATTACCACCCAAAAAAAGAATGCATATTCAGGAAATAAATATAATCTAGAGTCAATCAGCAAAAATAAAGAGTGTGAAAGAATAAAAATTTAAATCTAAATGTCAAGTAACAGTCAGAAACTGAAGCAGACTCTAAGATGAATATGATTCAGACAGTTTCAACACAAAACTATGAATTTTTATTTTACCTTGAAGGTCACGAGAGACATTAAAAGAAGGCAAAAACAAACCAAAAAAAAAAAAAAAAACCAAAAAAAAAAAAAAAACACCCCAAACCACTGCAATATCTGTGGGACTCAGAAATGAGCCATGATATTACAAAAAGGACTAGAGAAAAATTACTGTAGGACTGGAAAAGTCATCAGCTAAAACCTGATAAAATCAGCTGGGTTTTATAAAATCAYTATGGCTAGAGAGGATGCTTAGGTGCTCTTCAGAGAATTTTCCACTAAATGCAGTTTCASACGGGAGCATTATTCAGCTAAGCAGGTTAAATTCAACTCAAATRTTTATAAACAGCTTCTTAAAGACGCACTTCATGTCTCTTGATTTTACTTTTTGTCTATCCAGATTTTCAAATTGCTTTTGAGTACAACAGCAAGAGATTTTAAGTTATGCCAACCTGATTTTATTAGCTTTGCAATTAAAATGTGGTAGATACTTGCTTATCTTCCCAGCTTTCRTTATTTTGCCATTCCTTTGATTCATTCTGACACTGAGTAGCAAGAAAACACATGTAACTTTCTCGTTACAAATGCATGGAACAGAATTCTTTTTAAAACTTCACAACAGTGACAAAAGTCAAATGTAGTAAAATTTTACCATCCTCTGAAGCAAACACTAAATAACTGGGACCTATCTCCCTTCAAATAGAATATATGGGAAGTATGCTCCCTGCTAGCACAAGAGTGACAGATGCTCCATTTTAGCCATATTAATGATCCTCCTAGTGCATGGATAAGGGCTGACAGCTGTGAAGAATGACTCTGTCAGTAACTTAACAGACTTCTTAGCAGTTCAGCTGAACTCGAGACAGCTTAAATGCAGTTCTTCACTCAGTAATCCTTCCTGATCAMTGTCTTTCCTTAACCAGGGATCTCCTATCTGGAGCTCTAATTAAGGAGAAAATAAGCATAACACAGTTACTGCAGCCAGATTTTGAGCAATTGGCACAGATCAGGCAAAAGGCAAAATGTCTTTCTTTCACAATGGATCAGGGACATGGTCCTGCAGGACCAGTGCAGCATCACCCAGCAGGCTGCCTTTAGCATGTCCCCTAAAGATTTGGTGCTTCCTATTACACAACCACTTCATGTCTGTGCCCCTACACCTCTTTGGGCTTCTAGCCACATTCACTGAAGAGGACACTGGTGTATTGGCCAGTTCTGGTGTGCCTGAAGTGGCCAGCAGTGAAMTAGATCCACCAAGCAATACCAAGTTCATGCCCAGTGTTCAGTGTTTTGTGTAGCATTAGGTACCAAAGAGCTGTTTTGCATTTGAAAAGCTACAGGCTACCTCCGAGATTTTGATCCCATGATACACAAGCAATGTGAAAGATAATCCCAGACACACAGAGCTCTCTGCAGAGTACAGGAATAGTGGAGGGGGAGTGGAAAGATGGGCCAGAGCCAGGGGTCAGCGAAGAGCCATGGTACCTGTGTTGGATACAAAGTCAAGGTTCAATTGCTCCACACAGATAATGTGACCCACATTCAGAGCAGCCCAGTGCTTCAGTTGGAACTGAAATCTGAAAACAATTTCTTCTAACAGGTCTGAAAAATAAAAGCATCCTGAACTGGTCCAGGAAATGTGCCAGAGCTGTGGTAAAATACACTGCATGTCAAGGGAATCATTATTCATGTAATTAGAATCTCACCACAGAAATTTGGAGAAGCAGGATAGATATCTTTGGGAAAGGAAGTTAAAGATGAAGAGRTGATGTCTTAAACTGAAGAGTTTTGAGGACGTTTGGCTGACAGCACAATGTGGATCACCCTCTGAGCTTTCCATGTTACACATGGAGCCTCTCCCAGACATCCCTGCTGGTGTTAACCCACTCACATGCACATGAACCACACATGGTCYGCAGCCACTGCTCTGCAGAATTTGWTTTAGAGATAGGTCTGGACCCWAGGTCAGGGCACAGYRTGAGTTTTCYGATACTTTSATAYGATATTTTCCCATRCYAAAAGCTGCAGCCACCCTCTTCTAGCACAAAGAGGACTCATTTTGGGTCAAACTGACTTAACAGCCTACAAGCTGGTCTGGTTAGGGAGTTCTGAACTTTCAAGTCTGATGAGGAATACTCATATCCATTAAAATATATGTCAAAATATATACAGCTTTTTGAACGGCTTCTGGATTTATAGGTCTGATTTGAATGCCCCTTAGGATGACAATCCCATTCTAAGATAGCCCTGTGTGTCAGGGCAACCTCTGAACCAATACAGGCTGGGGGATGTAGTGCTTGAGAGTGGCCCGGCCAAGAAGGATCTGGGGATACTGGAGGATGGAAAGATGAACATGAGTCAGCAATGAGCATTTGCAACCCAGAAAGCCAAATGTGTCCTGGGCTGSATCCCAAACAGTATGGTCAGCAGGGTGAGGGAGGGGATTCTGCCCCTCTGCTCCCATCTGGTGAGACCCCACCTGGAACACTGCATCCAGCTCGGGGGTCCCCAGAGCAGGAAAATCTGTGGGTCCAGAGGAAGCCAGAAAGATGGTCACAGGAMTGGAGCACATCTCCTATGAACGCAGGCTGACAGGCGGGRCCTGTTCAGCCTGGAGATAAGAAGACTCCAGAAAGACCTTGTTGTCACTTTTTATTATTTAAAGGGAATTTARGAGAAAGATGGAGACACTTTCT